CTCAGAGCATCACGAGTGAGTCTTTGCTCAGTATATCTTATCATAGTAAGATGATGATTTCACAACTTATTTCACATTTTTGTTCTGATATTTGCTACCAGATAAGAGATCTTTCCATAGTCTAGTAATGGTTTATTTTGTATTTTGCTTTTAAAAGACAATGTTCAAGTTGAGAAGACAAATTTTCAGTGCCAGTTGACGTGACAACCAAATTTGCTACTGAGCACTAGCTTTTTGAACCGTTTGGTTCTCTGTATTTCAAACAGTGCTTGTGTGTGAATGAGAACCAATTGTCCTGTAGTAACTGGGCGGCAGCAGCAACTCTGACTTCTTACTTGCTAAAGACCGTTTGCTTTTCTAAGTCAAACCTTTGAGCTGAAATTGACCACACCTCAATTCTTAACAAAGATGAGTTGGACCTTCTTAACAACCAATCCATCCATCCTCTTAATAACTGCTAGTTTAGCACGTGTCCACGTATATTGATGCACACATTCCTGTTTGATTCCAGTGGAAGTTTTGTTGAAAACAAAAATCAGTCAACTTCTCAGTTGGTCCAAAACCATCAGTTTTGAGGTAGCTTTGGCTTTATTTATTTACTTTCTGGCTTCACATCTACATTACTCCAGACTGAGTGAAAATACATCGTTTCTGCCCACTATCGTTTGCATTACACTTCGCACTTATGTTTTACAACTTTAAAGTTTCAGAGTTGTCCTTAGTCATGCTTTCAGTCTTGGAAAACAATTGCTTTATTTCCTGTGTTTGTCATGTCTTACAGATCCTGCACTGATTCCAGTGATCCAGCCAAGCAACAGGTAAACTGTCTGTGTATGCTTAGTTTAAAGATTTCTATTTGATAAATCGACACAGAGCCGTGACATCGTAAATTGATAACACTCCACAAAGATTTGAGTTACATCCACAAAGATCTTGGACGTCGACTTCATGATTTATTGGTCAAAAATGACCAAAAACATTATAACTTAGAAACTGTGATTATTGTCAACATATAGAACTGGAGGAAAAAGGTTTAAAAATATCATGTCACATTTGACCTCTGACCTCTCTTTGAATGTCAATAGATTGATCTGAAGGACAAAGTGATACTAATGTTACATACAGCTTTTTAAAATGATAGTAGGTTTCCAGACTGACAAAAACATGTTGGCCTGGGAGACTTTGAGTATCATTGATAATTACATTATGCCTTTAAGTATATTACAGTTACAGGTTATAACTGTTTTAATACACAAGAATGTGAAAACATGTAAAATGTTCCAGATTTTTGTTTTAAACATGTTATCACAAATGTTTTTCACTGATATTTATTACTAAACGAATTTTGCTTAAAACAAAAAATAAATATGTATGATGATGGGAAGTATATGTAAATGGGTTTCAACAGAGAAAATAGCAAAAGGCTGCACTTTGTTGTGCAGTCTTCTTATAGTATGTTTAAAAAGAACAAGGAAAACACAGTAATTACAATTATAGTCCCTTAAAAGTAAACACTGCCTTAGCTGAGGTTTGTGCTCTGAGTACTTCTTGTTTCTGAACCACTTATTTTTAGTCTTGTTAGTCTTAGTCATATGTCATTAATAATTTTTCCATTGAATTATGATTTAGGTGAAGCCAGCATTGTGTAGTTATAAAAGATTTTAGATATGAAAGGTGGTTCATATCAGTTGGTCAACTTGTTACAGTAAAACAAATGCATTTAAATTTCTACTCCCACAGGTACTAAATGATTTACTGTAAATAAAAAGATTTGTAAAACCACAGTGCTGTTGATGACTCTGATTTCTCACCTTCTGGTTCTACACAGTCATCCTTTAGTACTTTATTTTTTCTGTGTCACAGTAGCAATATGGCCTCGGCTGTATAAAAATTTTTAATAATAGTCTTTTTGTTTTATTCTTGATACAGCATGAAGGATTACCCTGGGGTTTAAAGCCACTTTTTGTCATTAAGTGTCTAACTACAAGGGAGTATTTTTTTATCTGGATGTCTGGGGCCTGGGTCGCCTCCATCCTGTGGCTCCATGTACCTACTATTAAATACTTAAACACTCCCACACACAGGTGTTCACATTGTCTGGATTGGCTGCTGCCTCTAAACATGTTATGTATCATCAATACTTTATTCTGCTCTTTAACATTTAATATTTATTATTTACTGCTACTTATGCATATATTGGGTGTTGCTATGGTTTCCCTACTGTGTTGTTTTCTTTGCTTTTTTTCAGCTGGTAGTCAAACAGATTTTCAGTGTTTTTTTTCTCTTCCTCTTCTTCTTTTAACTTTCTCCCCAACTTCTCCTTCTTTCTTCTTTCCCATCCCCCAGTCCTGTCTGTTATGATTGTAATAACTCGAAATAAAATTGAAAAAATCCTAATAAAATTCTAATAAACTACGACTATCAAGTGGACCATTATAGCAAAAGACGTAATGGTCCACTTGTGAAAATCTGTTGGGCTTTTTGTTTGGCCTTCAGACAATTCTCACTGCTACACTGCCAAACAAGACAGGCAAACAAATAAATAAAAGAATAAGATGTACGTTGACTCACTGCCCAGCCGGAGTTCAATTTTAAGTACTATCTCTTCAACAGAGGACATTTTGGTTACAGAATTGTAATCGCTATTTTTCATATTTTGTTTATACTTTTAGTCAATTTTTTAACTAATTTTTTAAGACAGGAAGGCTTAAAAAGTAACGAATTATTTAGAAAAATTTCTTTTGAACAAGAATACATATATATTTTTTGCAACTAATTAATTACGATGGGCAGGAGTTTAGCAATCTGCAAAAAAAAAAGAGAAAGAAAGCCCCTACAAATTCAATAGTACTGAGAATAATATTTGTCAGTGTAAAATTGTGAAGATGTTGAATATTTTATCATCTACAGTGTCATTGAAAAATTCAGAGAAATCTAGGTGCACAGCGGAAGGCCAAAAGCTAATGTGGAATGTCTATGATCTGCAGGTCCTCGAGCAGCGCTGCGTTTAAAACGAGTATGATGTTGTCATTGAATATACAGTATGGGCTCAGGAACACTTCTTGAAGAAGAGAGTTTGCTGTATCATCCATAAATGCAGATCAAGCAAAGAAGCCATATTTGAACATGATCCAGAAATTCTGCTGAACTTCTTTGGGCCAAAACTCATTTAAAACAGACTGCGACAAAGTAAAAAACTGTCCTCTGCTCATATGAATCAAAATTTGGAATTTTGTTATGGAATACATGGTTGCTGCATCTTCTGGACAGGAGAGATACAACGTGGCTTGTCAAAGTTCAAAATCTATCATTTTTACTGGAAGTCGCATATACCACATCTGGAAAGACGCCATCAGTGTTGAAACGTATATACAGGTTTTAGAGCAACAAATGCTTATAATGGTTTTGTTTTTTAGAGGTTTTGATTATGTTAGTAAGATGATGCCAAACCAGATCCTGCACCTATTGCTACAGAATGGATTTGTTGTAGTAGAAACCGGCAGGCAAACCTTCCCACACATTTGCAGTCTGGATGCTACACAGTGGTAACTATAACTCTATCCCAACTTTACTGAGATGTGTTGCTGCCACCAAATTCAAAATACATTTTCACCCCTCAACTGCTAAAAGGCTGATGGGAGGTGTTGTCCTCACCCCACTGGACAGCATGGACACCTCAATTTGTGAATGCGATAACCCAAGAATGATGTGACGTAGGAGCTTCATTGGTAGCTCAATTGATACCATAGGTGCATCTGCTAGAAATCTCGGATGAGTTCGAATGTCAGTCACCTCGGCCTGGAGTTCAGAAGTTATGTTTTCTGAAAACCTCGTGAATGCTATTATTTGAGAACAAAACGGCGTAGGATTTTGAAATTGACACCATATATGCGTGTACTAGGATGATGAGTGGTTGGACTGGTGGTTTATGGTCTATTGTGGATTTAAAAATAAGTTTATGATATTTGCAAGTCATTGCAGTCTGGCTTTATTCACATTTTACACAGTGTCCCAACTTTTTCAAAATGATGTTTGTAGTGGATCAACATGAAAGTTCAAATGTGGTAAAAAAAAAAAAAAAATTAAATAAACAAAAATGAAAGATGTCCAGACGACGGATCATTGATTATTGGGTATCATATATGTAATGATTTTGAATATGGAGCTGGCAGGTAGGAGGAAAAGAGTTTGGTGTGTCAGAGGATCCCAGGGACAGGAAATATCTTTAGCTGTCATACAACAGTCCTGGCATGTAATAGTAGCTTGTTTGTTAGTTCAACATGTATTACACAATGCCTATTCAGAACGTATTAGTTATCACATTTGACAAATGGTTCCTAAAATGATACAGTTTATTACTGATCGTCATTTTTCAGTTTACCAAAAGGCTTTTTTCCCCAGTCTTGCTCAGGTCTGGCAGACTTGCAGTAAAATGTGAGTACATCTTTGACACAGTCAGAGCTGGTTGATGCTTTGAGGGTGGAAAAAGTGCGTTTGTAGCGAAAAGGTTGGGAACCGCCAAGGAGGGGCATGTTGCTTTTCTTTGCCATGCCCAAGGCTGTTCATTATCAACATGAAGGAAGGTAATCATTGAAGTGATCCAGTTTTAACGGGGCTGATCGTGGCCAATTTGGGGAATGAATACTCCTAGTCTCTGTTCGTCTTCTTCTGTGGCCTAGTTCTTCTTTAGCCCAGTTTGTGGCCCACTTCTGGTTCTAGAAGGACAACCAATTTTTGGGCTAATAGTAATTTTTCCTTTTGACTACGTGCCACATTGAATTAACTCCCTGCGCTGTTTCCAACAAGCACTCTGAGATTAAATCAACTTTAGCCACAATAACCTTTATTATGGTCTTATACACTCCATTATGAATGCAAGATTACATGTTTATGTGAAATTCAATTGAAGGCAAATCATAATCTTTAAGCCCTGAATATACTACATTACAACCTTGTGGCCTAGATTACAGTCGGTACTATTCGTGACTGTTTCACTGTTACACGCAGGAATCTAATAATGTCTTCAGCCGAATGGAGAGCCTGAAGGTGAGTGTCACACTCGCACTGTTCTAATAACTCATATGTCTGCTGGATTTAAATAACATCTGTTAATGTGGCAAAAGTTCATTTTATTTGAAACTGGAGTCACATTCAAATACTTTGTGATACACTGCTTTCCAAAGCCTTAACAATTACTGTGAAACATGCAGCACAAATGTTCTGAAGCGGCCCCCGTTGTTCTTGCATGCAAATTTCTTAACATACTTAAATGACCCTGAAGCAATGGTTCCTGACCTGCAGGAAACGGTCCAAAAACAATACGGAGAGGTCGCCAAAGGATTAAAGGGATAAAGAGGGAAAGAAAAACACCTGTTGAGCAGAATTAAGTGTATTGTTTCGTACTCTTATCTAAGTTTGCTTTTGTTTCTTGTGAAATTCTACTTGTTGTATTTTCCACTCTGTACCAAGCCCAACACGTATCCACAATCTGATGAACACTTCTTTCAGTTTAAATGGGATTTAAAATAAATGAAAAGGAAGTGTTGTATGCTATATTTCCTACTATGAAAGACTCGATAACAGGAACATAAATAGACTAATCTGGGGTTTTAAAATAAATTTCTACCTGCTGGCCTGTCACAGCTCTCACAGGCAAATTCAATTTCATGTTTTTCTACTTAAATTGTAATATGACATTACTTAAATTCTCATTTTCCCCCAGTGTGGACAAAATTTAAAAAAAAAATGTAACTATTGACAAATTGTAAAATGTGAAAACAAAGTAGTACTTGGATAGAACGTTTAAACCCATTTGCAAAAAAAAAAAACCCAAAAATTTTAAATAAAAAACAATAGTGTTATTGACTCAGTGTTAACCTCTAATTTTCAGTTTTGAATGGAAGTTAGGATAAAGATATATTTTTAAGACTGTTATTTTAGCCAGCTTTCTTATGTTTGTTAAAGGAGACATTACAAAATTGCCTCTTATCCAGTTGAGAGCAGCTATTACTGTAAGAAATGGAAGCAAATAAGTTAATCTAAAGTCCTAAACACGTTTTAGTTTACTTTCCCCCTTAAATCTTCTATCTGTAGATGTACATTGATATTCAAAAACACTAAAAACTGTTAACTTATGATTTACTTGTATTTAGATTCATGTGGGAAAAGACTGTAGTCTTGTGAAAAACTTAGTACACCCTTAATTAAATCATCATCAAGTGTGTGCACCTCGAAACACGCAGAGGTTTTGGCAGTTTGTAGGTCTGCAGCATTCAGATGCCTCTTAACATCTGAAGGATGAAAAACATCAGAAATGATGAACTGTTTCTGCCCATTAATCTGGGAAGGTTTATGAGGCCATATCCAAACTTTCCGCAGTAAGATTATTCATAAGTGGAAAACATTTAACACAGTTTGTCTGTGAAGGTTCTCAGTCATCCAGGTCATCGTAGTCTAAGGAGCTTGCAAAGAAAAGCGTCTGGACTTCTTTAAGTTACTTGAAGACGTTTCACCTCTCATCCGAGAGGCTTCTTCAGTTCTTAGAACCTTAGAACTTAGAACTGAAGAAGCTTCTCGGATGAGAGGTGAAACGTCTTCAAGTAACTTAAAGAAGTCCAGACGCTTTTCTTTGCAAGCTCCTTTGATTTAACACAGTTGGCAATCTTTCCATGAGTGGATTTCCTGGGTGCTGAGTTTGGTCAGAACAGGCAATACCCACAAAGTGAAAAAAGAAAAAAAACTTTATGGGCTTCATTTGGCATGTTAAAGTTCACTTTTCACAATA